GAGAAACGTGACAAGGAGCCTTGTAATGAAACCGAGCGCCGACTTGAACCTTCCCACGGTACGTCGCGCTCTGTGCAGCGGCGCAGAGCGCGCGTCTCTGGCACAGACGGAGCAGCGACCGCGCCAGCGGTCGCTGCTCCGCCCCTCCGTCGCGCGCGCCGCGCGCGCGCTGCCGCCGCCGCCGCCGCCGCCCCCTCCTCGCCGTCTTCCCCACCCTACCCTCTGTTGCGCGCGCGCGCCCCGCGCTGCGCGCCCCCGCCCCCACCCCCGCCCCCGCCCCCGCCCCCGCTCCCACGCGCCCCTTCCCCGGTGGGTGTGCGTAGAAAGTGAAACCGATCGAGAGGTGGCAGAAGCCGCCGTGTGTGACACATATTGCGGCACGTGTGACGTGAGTGTCGGTGAGAGACACACACATATTGGGGTTTGCGGGGAGAGCCCGCCCCGCCCCCGGGCCCGGCGCGCGCAGCGCGCGGGGCGTTTTTTATGCAAACATGCAAACGGGACGGCCTGCGCAGCCTCTAACTATTCCCCGCTTGACCAAACCCGAGGCGCGCGAGCTCCAGGCGGCGACGGAGTCCGACGGCCTCATCGCCATCCGCACCCGCGGCGCCATCAATCAACACGGCCGCCCAGATCGAGCACTTTACCCCTCTGCTCCAGAAGCACTTCGGCAACGTCGTCTCCGTCCAAGAGGGATATCACTCCTTCCTGGGTGGAGTGCTCTCTACTGCCGCGGCGCCCCTGTCGGTTCGGAGGCGCCCGGCGGCCGCGCGCTTGGTGCCGACGTCGACCGGCTGCTCTCGCGGCGCCGAGACGTGCGGCTTTGGTCACGTCTCGCTCGCGCGCTGCGAGGTGTCTTTTGGCATGTGAGCGCTTGGCATAGACGCCAGGAAGCTCGCCTTCCTTGCCTGCGGCCGCGGGCGTGCGGGAGGGCACGCCAGGCTCGGCGACGCTCCGCGCGGGTCTTCGAGCTCGCGGCCCGCGACGAGCCAGCATGGCTCGTCGCTCGACGGGAGCCTGCCCAGCATGCTCTCTGTACCGCCTCGACAAGCTGTCTGGGAAGGCCGACAGGGTCAGGGCGGGCCGTCTCGGGCGCGATGGCGCGCTGAATACTACCATGACTACATGTACGAGCTCTCGATCAGGTCGCCGGCAGCGGGCTTGCGCGGCGCGCTGCTCGACGGCAGGCTGCTCTCCAACCTTTCAACAGTGTCTTTTACAGGTCTTTTACCTCGCTCCTCTCGCTGCAACCGCCTGCGGGGGCCAGCATGAGCGCCCAACTTGAGAATCGTGCTTTTTTGGTTAGGTAGGGCGAGTAGATGAGCGACTTGCTGACGCCGTCGAAGACGCTCGCTCCCTTCTTCTGCGCCTCGAGGAGGCTCCGCAAGCAAGGCCGTTGGCGCTCGACAGCCAACGCATGCGCCTGAGCGTGAGTCTGATGGCACACGTCATGGATTTCAAGAGACAGCCATCCGGGAACCGCTGGTTTAGCTCGTGGGGCATCATGCCCGCCAGACTTCATCCAGGTACGCCTCTTGCGGCCGTCCCATGCTCCGCCGAAGACATCGATAGCTCCGCACGGACTGCACACACACACGCCGCCTACCAACACACATGGAGACGGGCGACGCGGCACCATCCTATTCGGCCAGCAGAGCCGAGCCGTCAAGTGCCACAGACGCGCCGACGGACATCGTCGAGTCGCAGCAATCGACAGACATCGTCGAGTCGCTCAAATACCCAGAGGCGGAGCGGGTGGACAGCGTACGGTTGGAGGGCGGCGCAGAGCCGAGCCATACGGCACCCGTCGCCATAGCCGCGGCCGAAACCGCTCAGCCCGTACGGGGCCAGCTCGTCCAAGGCCAGCCCGTCCAAGGCCAGCCAGTCCAAGGCCAGGTGCAGAGTCCAACAACAAGCGACATTCAGGTGCCAATTCCTCCCCAGTCCAGAGCAGGCGACATGCTGCTCGTGACAACGCATTCGGGGCGGCAGCTGGAGGTGACGGTTCCTCCCAATGCGGGCGCTGAAGTGACGGTCACCTACGCGAGAGACGGCGGAGCTGCACAGAGAGCAACAGATGAGGCGATTCATGCGCAGAGGATCCGTACCACGCAGAAGGAAGACCGGCGAAGGTGCTGCATCCTAGCAGTTGGACTCACCTCAGGAGGTGTCATGGTATGCCTGGGGATAGTGGCAGGAGTCATCGCCTTGATCGTCTACTTCATCATCGACCCGCTGAAAGAGTTGTCGGAGTGTCGGTGAGTGCAAGAACCCCACTGTTCGGCAGCTTCAGCTGTGCGTAAGAGACTGTGCGTAAGAACCCTTTGGCCAGGGCAGTGAACGACTCGGATCTTAGCCCGATAGGCATCCTGTTCCGGAGGCTTAATTACGGAGTGCACGGAACACGCTTTGGTTAAAAGCGCCGCGTCTCAATCTGAGCGGCCGCACTCTGCTCGCTACCCCCCCTGCACAACTAAGCTCATGGCCGACCCCCCCCCCCAGCAGCAGCGCTCTGCCTGTGGGGGGTGCTGGCATCTCTGTACAGACAGCAGCTGTAAATAGCATGCGTTCCAGTGGCGAGAATTTATAGTCGGCATCAAAATCAGTGGTCTCAAGTCTTTAGTAAAACGCCAGCACTCGACACGACGAAGGTGTATTGGGCTCGAAGGCGCGGCGAACACAACCGCCTCGAGCGTACGAGTACCGCTAAACACGAACC